TGTTCTTTCTGATGTAAAGTCAAGGTTGTAACTGTTTGCAATGAAGTTGTGGGGCGCTGAACTGTTCCTTTGATTCTGATAGTAATTAATGGTCTTTCAAATTTGAAGGAGGGTGAGCAAGCATCTTGAGGAGCGTTCATCATTAACTCCTCCAAAAAATATAGTTTATTTAATAATAACACTGAATATGTGAATCATAACAGTGATTGACAGCTGATAGGAATAATATGATTGTTAATATTATAATATTCATACAGACAAACATCGATGAGACGGGGAAGAGGCAGGGAGGTGGGTGTTTTTAATATGCTAGTGGACTACCTGAGAGATATACAGCAGGAGAACACAACGTCCAACACGGAGAATAAACAGAAGGGCAACCATGGCAACCATGCTCCGGGGTCTTCTTCACTGCTTTTGGTGTATTTTGTGGTGGCGAAAAACTCAAAGTTGCGATGAGGTCTTAAAATGTATTGAAAGGGTCTTGAAAAAGGTCTTAAAAGGTATTACATTTGACTTCAGGATTCCTGCATATACCCTGATCATGTATTGCGTTACAATTATATGTAAAGAAAATAAATTAAAAAAACTCTAAATATGATATCTGGCCTCAAATCATCTGAGGCCTGGCGCCCCCCCTGCGATCTTTGGAGCGCCCCCCAGGTTGGGGACCACTGCTCTAAGTTGATGTATTGTATATTGGGATATTGTCAGAGAATGTACAATTTTCGGTAAATCTGCACTTAACAAAATGTGCAATGTGTTAGATATAACCATTTCTCTCTTGTGCTCTTCTGCAGGAGGAACCTGACCAAGCTGTCTCTGATCTTCAGCCACATGCTGGCTGAAATAAAAGCCATCTTCCCTGGAGGACAGTTCCAGGGGGACACGTTCCGGATCACCAAAGCTGATGCTGCGGACTTCTGGAGGAATTTCTTTGGAGAAAGGTAAGCTTCAACTCATCCAGGCGTCTCCTTTGCAGCCTTTATTGGTAAATCAATATTTAATTTAGAAAGACAAGGAGAAGCTGTGAGTGGAGACGTTTCTCTTTTTTTATTTCCAGGATATTACCACTTCCATACCACTGGGACTTCAAACACAAGCTGTTTCTTAAGATAATGACATACACGCACACACAAACATAAGTACATAAGTTTGCCTTGAAATGCCTTATTGTGCTTACAATAACCAAGTTATCTTTATTAGCTGCTATATAGTGCCCCTGACTGTTATCTGGGTTTTAGGGGTGTACTGTAGGTGAATGCACTATCCTATGTGATATAGAGCTTTCTTTATGGCCCTAGAGTTTCAGTTCTAGTCCTAACCGACAGACCGTGGAGGCTTTTAAAAAAGGCCTCAAAAACCATCTGTTCAATATAGCCTTTCCCTAGATCTTTTATCTTATTTATTACTACCCTTTTATTTATTTATTTTGTATTGTTTGTTTTTTCCTGCTTTTTATTCATTCTACCGTGTTGTGTACTGTCTTTATTTTGTTCCATCCTAAATGCCTGTAGCACTTCGTGATCTGAATTATTATTATCATTATTATAACCATTGCCTCTCCTCTCCTCCCCTGTCTCCTGTTGGCAAACAGCCTTATAGCTTTAACATTCTTTCCTCACAGCCGTGTTTTGGTATGACCATGATAGTTGATTTGGTTTGCCCATAACATCAAAACAATATCTCCTTCAGATAATAACAGGACCAAGCAAACACACAGTGTCAGAGAGCAGTAAGGACATCCAGAGTCCATCTCATCAGGTGGAGGCCCTGCAAATCCCTTCCTGCTAGGAGCAGGTTATAGAATGTTGATTATTCTCTTAGGAATAGTTCAATATTGAGGAGTGAGCAAGAGACACTCAGAGTAGGTTGGGCAGGAGCTTTATCACTTTGTTGCTGCAGCAAATGTCTTGGTCAATTATCTGGCTGTAACTTCCACTAATCTTCAGTGTGTGCCTGCCATCAGTTGGAGCTCTCCAGAGTTCTACTTGTGTTCCGAGTCCTTGCTCCAAAACTTTAATTACACTATGTACTGTTGATTTCCATGAATTGCAAACGGTCAGTGCCGAACGCCTCAATTGCTTCAGTTGTTAGGTGAAGACCAACTCCACTGTCATGATGTCATAGATATGACAAGTGTCCACACTGGAGTGTTCTTGAATGATAGCTATATTAAAAAGCTTTGCACTCAAACACAGATTGTGACTAGCGAGACGTCCCTTTGGCTTCTGTAGAGGTTTCCCCTTTAATGCAAACACACCTTTCTGTATTTGCTGCAAAGCCACATTTATGGCTACACATAAATTCATCTCTCTGCCAATGTCTTTTTATAGTTATTTTTCTCTGTGTTCCCGCACAGAATCAGGCATTTGAGTGTTAAATTGTTGCTGCAATAACTTTTAACTATGTCACAAAGTAGCATGTTTGATCATTGAGACTGCTCTTCAGTCACCATATTCTCCATTTGGTTATTGAACATTTGGCAAAAGGGCCGTTCCTCCAGTACCTGCAGTCAACATGTGGATGTGTCCTTGGGCAAGATACTGAACCCGGAGTTACCCCGATGGCCAACCCTAGAGCATTTGGCACTGCTCTGCATGAACGAGGTGTGAAAGGGTGAATGACTCTTAGTATGTTAAAGTGCGTTGATGGTTCGTAAAGACCTGATAAAGCACTATAAGTAGAGTCAATTTAAGTCCACCCTGTTATGCTTATTCTTAATGGAAACTGATCATTTTTGGTAAAATATTGTTCGTCTTTAATATTATTAATATTTAATGTATCAAATATATTTTTCTGTTTCACTTCCCCAAGTTCTAGCTTGATTATCGTCACACAAGTAGCAATACAAAAGTTTAGCATAACACGTCCAGCCTGTTGCTATTTTCCCCAGTAACAGTAATAATACATTTTGACCATAATGTCATAAGCTGGACCAAAATATTAACTTTAACAAGGTATAGATTTACTTTAACAAGGTATGATTTATGATGATGATTTGATACTTTTTTTGTAGGACAATAGTGCCTTGGAAGGTCTTCCGTCAGTGCCTCCATGAAGTACATCCCATCAGCTCGGGTCTGGAGGCCATGGCCCTCAAATCCACCATCGACCTCACCTGCAACGACTACATCTCTGTCTTTGAGTTTGACATTTTCACACGCCTCTTCCAGGTTGGTCATACTAAACTAAGGATCCTACATTGATATGTTATTGTTTCACACACATAACATATCTCTGTACTAGTGATTTATACTGTTTTCAGATCATAAAAGGTTTGGGCATTTGCATGCGGTTCCTCTAGTTTGTTGTTTTGTTTTGCACACTTCTAACAAGCCAGACATATGCTGTCAAATTACCGATATAAATGTGGCTCTTAATTGTAATGTTTGACTTTGCAATTTGTTTTTAATGTTTTATGATAATAGGAGGAACAGAAAACCTGGAAACACAATGCTTAAAAATGTTGGTGTCTTCATTACATGTGTTCCAATCCACTTGCAGTTTTAACATAAGAAAAAGATGCAAAGCCTATCAGATCGTATCATATTATAATTATGTACCTTTATGTGTGTGTATCTAAGTTTCAATTATTTTGCCAAACTGAGAAAGTGCAGTGCTGAGTGTAAAGTTTTTTTGTACCACTGTAGAAAACTGTAAAATCTCAGTCCCCCCAGCCAGACTCTGGTTAGCGTCTGGTCAAAGCTAGGGCCAACATATTTAATGTGGCTTTGACTTCTTTAAGACCTTAACATTTTCTCGGGAACATTTGCACTCATGGTGCATGGACTGCAGCGCGGCGACAATGCTACTGCAAATCTGCTTGGACTAGATATATTGTGAAAATATCTGACTGTCCACTTAAGCGCAAACTTTTTAGGATCTACTCCAAATACTGCTTGAGTTTGAAGACAGCAGAAGTATCTGACAGTGGATAGTTTTGGTTAGTTTAGTCAGGTGTAGTCTTTTATTCAATTGGAATCCATATGGATGTCAGCCTTATGATTAGCTGCTGAGGAGTCCTGATGGGAGGCAGGTCTGGGATCAGAGGGCCAGCATGAAAGTGAGAATGACTGGGTGAAGAAAGTAGGAAACTTTATGACAATTCATCATGATTATGTACTGCAATCCTCTCAGGAGACATCTTCGCCGTTGGGAAAGGTATTGTAAAACTACAGCTGTTTCTGTGCTTTTTCAGTGGTGTGTGCATAATGTGTTCACTAGCTGTAGGTCATTAAATTGCTGCTGCTTTCATGCACATGTGATCTCCTTCCTCTTTGGGCCATTATCCAGTTTACAGCTTAAATCAACAACAGAGTGGTCGGGCCCGGTGACAGTTCCAGTACCCATTAGGTTTTATTTCCTCTGCCAAACCAGCTACTAAGTGAGGGAAAGCCGATCCTTGTCCCTGGGGAGTTTCAGCTAACAGGCAGGATGGTGGAGAAAGTGTTGGCTACCTTTGAGTCAACTGGCCCACTTTCCCTGAAGTCCTCCCAACACAATGACCCACAGCTTATGCTCTTAAGTAAGGCATCTGATTTGAACAGCTTATCTGTCAATGGCAATATTCTTTTTTTAATATCTACATATTAATGCAGAATCTTTGGATTCAGACAACTTAGTTATTGTCATTCAGAAAAAAAACATTTGAGCTGGCAGGTGAGGAAATGCAGAGGCTTGGTTGTTTTTGCTTGGCTGTGCAGATTGTAGTCAGATATCGAGTTCTCTTACGCAGCGTCCACACGGCGGCGTGCATTGAAGCTTGCCGGCGGGCGTGTCTGAAACTCGACCAACAACCAATCACATGAATCTCCCGCCCCGGACACACAAGCAGCGGTTTGATTGGCTAGAGCTTGTACTGGCATATGTTTTGATTGGCTGACGCTTCCACCGAAGCTTCAAAAGTTGAACATTGCTCAACTTTTGCAGCGAGCAATGCGAGCAAAGCGAAGCAACGCTCCCACAATGCAGTTCGGCAAATTGTGACGTCACCCCATTCAAAGTGAATGGGCAGAAGCGTTGAAGCTTCAACGCACGCCGCTGTGCGGACGGGCCGTTAGAGTTCTATTTAGTCTTTCCTGCTAAGCAGTCAAGTAAACATACTTTAATGTTATCTAGTTCTTTTTTTGACCTCTGTTTAATTTGTTCTGCAGGAAACCTAAACTAGTTAAATTGATCCAAACACTACTGGTTATAGTGCCCAAGCTGCTCCCGAAATGCTTATCTTGCTAGATATAATGAACCTCAGACTCTGAATCCTCTCTTATTCAGGTAATATTTTTAATCATTTGACGGCAGCCTAATAATTCAGTTTCAGTGTCAACATACTATAAAATTAATATGTATCTCTTATACAGGCCCATTTCCACGACTGGTAATGACTTGTGCTTTAAGCATGGATAATAAATGTGCAGTTGATATTATTATTTTAGGTAAATCAGCATTTGGATTGTGTTTTTCAGCCATGGGGATCAATTCTGAGAAACTGGAACTTCCTGGCAGTGACGCACCCCGGCTACATGGCTTTCCTTACCTATGATGAAGTTAAAGCCAGACTGCACAAGTACATCAACAAGCCTGGCAGGTATGGTGACTGTGTGTGTACAGTATTTTAAATGTTTTAGTTTTTTTCTGGCAGAAAAGCGCAAGCAGTTCGCTTCATCAAAAAATCCATCTCCGTAAAGTTCAGAGATATTCAGCTTGAAGCCTTCTGAGTGGCTGCATGCTGAGCGGTCTAATTATGGCGCATTTCCTCTACAGCGCAGTTTAAGCGCGCCCGGCCCGTTTTTGGTTGCGTTCCCACTAGGCGTAGTTCTGGCTAACAGGTACTTTTTCACAGT